CTTTTGATCCGACTGAACAGAACAAGGGTTGAGATTTGAGAAGGTGAAAAAAGAGAGTGAAAGGGGGGGGGGGGGGGGGGGAGGGAATATGTGCAGGATGGACCCCACCCCTATCAGAATAATGTTCTTGTTTAGTTTGTTTTCATAGGTGTGGAAAATTTACCAGTGCTTCCATCGGTGAACGTCTCCATCCCCGCCACGCGTGCAGCCTGTCTGGACAAGAGGAGGGATGGAGAGCGGGTAAAGCTGGGGGTAGGTGAAAGGGGGGCCGGGGCAGGGACCGAGTGGGACGCTGGGTCTGGAGTGGGGGGCTCGGCATTAAACTGGGAGGTAGGGGGGTGCGTGTGAGGCTTTGGTGACACCCTAACCTTTTATGTTCCCCCCTCTTTTCTCCCCCCCCTTCTCTCCATCTCCCACCCTGGACGCGTGTCTCTCAGCGGTTTCCATAGCGACTCGGAGGCTGTGATGCTGCCGAGGAGAAAGAGGCGCGTGCGTGAGAGTGAGGAAGAAGAGGGGATGAAGAGGAGACGGTCATTTGTGAGGTGCTGGTGGGGGACGAAGCCACATCTAAGATTATCAGCAGCATCTGGACGATGATTTACAGCTCTGCAGTTTTCATGTTTAAGATCCTGACTTTCATTTTCTCTGAAAGTCAGGATCGTTAGTCCTGAGCGTCCAAAGAGCTCATTAATACACGTACTGAGGAAAAGATTTTTTTTTTTTTTTTGGATCCAGTTAAATCTATAACTTTATTATTGATTTTGAGTCGTTTGGGACTTTTAAATACGTTGTATAACTTCCTGCCCGGACTCACCTGAGCGGATATTCAGCAGCTGCTCTAATGCTTTGAATACGAGGCCTCCTCCAATTTAGCATGCATCGATATGCTGCCACCTGCAGGCCAAAGGCAGCACTTCACTTCGGTCAGAATATTACCACTGACTTCTGGCAGCCAGGATGTAAACATAGCAAGTTTTACTTGGACAGCTGGTTATGTTTATTGGAAAAAGTAAAACAAAAAGTGGCAGTCTTTCTTGTAAACTTTGTTGCATTTTTATGAGATTGGAAATTTTAAAATGTAGTTAAAAGGTTATAAATGTTGGTCAAACAAACAGCATGTTTTAACCGTTCATCTATGCTTCTCTGTATCAATCCTTTCAGCAAAGAGACAGGAGAAGAGCAACCACGCAGACATACCAACACCTAAGGAAAATGTAACTTACACGAATCACCCAGAGAGAACCAACAAAAGCACAGGGAGAACATGCAACCTCCATGAAGAAAGACCTCAGGCTGGGATTCAAACCATCTTGCTGCAGTGCTATTCACTGCACCACTGGGCATCCTGTTGTATTAACCCAAATTACATAAATCTGCATTTAAATTCTTCTGCATCAACCAATGAAGATTAAAAACACAAAGCTTGGCGATGTAAAAAATGTGGGCCCCGGTATGAATAAATAAACCTAGTTCAGAATTAGGTATGGCATCATGAATAGTTGTCGGGAGCACAGTTGCTTTGCAGCAAGAAGGTACTTTGGAGAGATGACGAGGAACTCCATCGTCCAGGATGAGCTCAAAGTAGAGCTGGTGTTCCTCCATATCTACAGATCAGTTCTGAACAGTGACAAATCTTTTTCTCCTCACACAAGTTTTCTAAGTCAAAACATCAAAATCATCAAATCTATTTTATGTAAGCGAATTTAAATGTTAAATTGTTAACCATAATTCAAATCTATTGAAGTTGCAGAGAGACGCAAAGAGTGATAGACTTACAAGGAAAATTTCCCTGTACAAAGTAATCCAAATTAGATGTTTCAAAGAGCTAAATGATCTATTACCAGAAAAAGTCCAAATGAGACCAGATATAATTTCAGCTGCCAAACAAAGCTGTAAAACCAACCAGAGCACTCTAAAACAAACCTATTGTACGATACAGTGGACGCTAGATGCTAATGATACCATCTTCCATTCTGTGGTATCAACCACAGAGACTGGTTGATACCAAAGTTACTGGAAAAATCAACAGCAACTACTTACTCAAATAAGTGGACTCATTTATTGGTACATTCATTACACTGAAACAAGTAAACATATTCCACAAATGTCATCTCATTTATGTCCCTTAGAGGAAAACGCCATGTTACAGCGACCAGGCACCTGAAACCACTGACAGCTGAACCCACCATGTGTAGGGGAATCTAGGAGATGGACTTTCAAAAAGACCTTATCTGATTCTTTTCTCCTTAATAAAAGCAAAATATTTCTCCGTCCGATCAAAGGGATGAGCAATATGCTGCAGGGAATACATACAATGAAAGCGGGCCCAGCGGGCCGGCAGCAGCCTATAGTGTCTATCAGCTTTAGATGACACGTTTCGATAGCGGGGCTGATTTCGGCCTCAGCTACCCCAAGATGACTGGAGTCGCCATCCAATCAAGGCGGTCAGAGGAACACCTGCGGACAGTGGAATAAAGTCTACAAGAGAATGATGAGCCGTCCCTGGCCACACAGAGCAACATTACATTTAGCTTTTTGTACAGCAATACAATTTGCACCACAGAACACGAAACCGTCTCTGATGTGTCTCTGAAGTGGACCAGGTAATAAACTGGACATTCGCTTCAGAAAATGTTCAGTGTGATGTGATGCTTTAAGAAAGTAAGGGGTGGTTTATGTAGTTTATTTCCCAGTGCAGGTCATGGAAAGTGAAAACATTTGTCAAAACTGATTGATTTCTTCCTTAAAAACTTTTTTTTTTCTCTCACATTGTCCTCCAGTCATAGTATAGCTGGCACTGAAAATTTCCCACAGAATCATGTTCACCAAAACTAGTTGATCTTTGAACCTGTCTGTGGATTCTTTGGCCTGGATGTGGATCACCAAAGCAGAGTGACTTTCCTTGCTCTGCAGTGCATGCTTGAAACAGTTTTCACATAAAATGCAACATTTGTCCAGTACAACCCAACTGGAAAAGAAACAAATCTATTAAAGGGAACTACTTCAGTAACATGGTTACTTCAATGTGAACAACAAAATCATGACTTCAAACGTCCTCGAATTTAATTTTAGCCTTCAGTGTTCTTTGTTGAGTGTTTCAGCGTCCCACATGTTATTTTTGTAATTTGTGTCCACTCTACCTTGCAAAGTTCGACAAATTTATCTGATTGTGAGGGCATCTCTCATCCTTTGTGTCCTGTCTGCAAAGAATGTACTTCACTAAAGGATGTAAAGATGGAAATCAGGAAAATCTGAAGAGAACAGCTGCCCTTTATTCACCACCTTTCTCTAGCAGATTTGTTTTCCTATGAATTGTCCAAGACAAATGTCTCATTATAGCTATGTGGAAAATATTTAAGTAATTTTTCACATCACAAAATCCTGCCGTTTCATCATGGTGCATGTAGATTTTTAAGTCTCTTTATGTGAGAAGCTGCAAACTACAAAGTCCGCCTGAGCTTTAAGTTTCTGATTGACATCTTTAGATGTTCTTTCGTCATGATTCCATCTCTGTAATGATGTGCACCAGTCTCTTCTGCAGCAAAACAGCCACACAACATGATGCTGCCACAGATACGATGGAGTTCCCAGGCTTAAAAGCGTCTACATTCTTCCTCCAAACATAACAAAGGTCATTATAGCCAAACTGTTCCAGTTCAGTTTCATCAGACCACCTGACAAGTGTCCTGAAATGCAGGTCTTTATCCCTGAGTGCATTTGCTTTAGGAGTAGTGGCTTCGGCCTCACTGAATGGCCTTTCAGTCCATGTTTTTGAAGAACACGTTTTCACAAGGTCTTTAAGTTTTGTTTTGGGGTCGAGTTGTGCGTTTTGGAAAAAAAACACATTAATTCCTAGCACACAGAACTCGTCTCTTTCCAGAGCAGTGTGATGTTTCGACATTCCCATCATGTCTATCCTTGCATTTAATTAGTTGTATCGGAAAATGTTTATATCCCCAATTAATTCAGTCATCCTATCAGAGGTTTCCAAAGCCACATCATCTGAATTTTCCCTCATTGAGTTAAGAAACTAAACATTTTGTACGTAAACGTCTGATTTTGAAGACATCAGCAAATATTTCTGATTAATTATTTGGTGTTTAGCAAATATAAATAATTTTGGTAGTTCCAATTTACCTAAAACAAGAGATTTTGTCTAATTTTACTTCAGTCAGAGATTTGGGGAAAAAAAAGAAAAGTATTTTTTTATACAAGTAAACGACTGATTTCAACTGTGTGCGTCTCTTTTTTTTTTCCCCCACCAAGAAAATATCTCATAATGGCAAGAGCATCGCAGGCAGAGAGAGTTCTGAGGAAGGACATCACAGTATCATTTGAGCCGTTTCTCTGTAGTTCTGCTGACTTCTCACAGAAAGTGCCTAAATCTACCTGTGGGCATCACTTCACTGCTCTCTGCTTTAGGGCTGGGCGGGTGAGAACTGGACTTTCTAAAACAAGAAGGTTTTCCCCGAAGGCAAGCCCGGGGCAGTTGAGCTGGCCATCAAACAAAGCGTACTCCAAACAGGGTAGAAAACACCCCATCAGGTTTTCTCCCAGAGGGTTGGGCCTCATTACTGTTCTCCACGAGGGCCGTTCAGTAAGAGAACTGCATTTGTCACAGAAGTTTCTGGACGCTGGGAGATTCCACTTGTACAAACAATGGTGGCATCTTTACAGCAGGTTGACGTAGCGGTTGTGGAAGGCAAAAAATGTTTTAAATAAGATCTGGTCTTTTGATTCGCTTTTCAAAAACGTCAAGATTTAAAACTTTGGAAAAACAATGGCAGAGTAGAGTGGTCAAACTTTTTACTCAAGTAGCAGTAGTACTTTATAATCAAGTCAAAGTTTGTGTTAAGAATCAACTTCAAATGTTTCAGATGTAGAGTGTGAAGAACCAATAATAAATTAGCCAAATAGCTAATGAATGACAGTACTGATTTTTCCAATTTTGCAACTATGCAAAATGTTGAGGACAAATATGAATAAATCAAAAAGCAACATGAGGTGGTCATCAAAACTTTTATTATTCACCAGAAGTCCGATATATAAAGATTTTCACAAAAAATGACTACTATTCCAAAGAAAAAAAGTCCCCTGAATTAGTGAACAGTACAAACATACATTATTATCTTCTTTACCAAAAACACAAAGTAAACATGGAAATCTGTCCATTGTCCTCTCGCTGGCGTCTGCTCAGCCCTGCAGAGACTTGTACTTCAGACAGTGTCTGTCTGCTTAAGTCTTGCCACTATGAAGGGACTTAAGAGAGAGAGGCCTTATTGATCGTCTTCTATGAGTGAAGTCCAGGCATTAGTTCCAGCAGGGCAAGTAGACAGCTGTCCGTGAGCCACTCTACTGGGCCAACATCGCAGGGCTGAGTGGAGCTGGGATGTGCACTTTTGATTTTGATCTCTCCAACATCACTTGTATTGACTGACGCTCCGTCCTGTGCTTTACTTGCTGAGAGAAGCACTTGCTGAGGCCTAACTGGGAGCCCAGGCACAAGCCACCATTACATTATCAGGGCCACTCTTGACAAGCTTGTGATGATGAATCTTCCATGGTCCGTTGAGACCTGTTCCTAATCACCGCTGTCATCTACTGATGACTAAAGCATCCACTGACCACAGCAATCATACGGTGGGTTATGGTGGTGCACGGGGCAGCGTTATCTTGTCTCTCCTGTGTCGGCGGGGCTCTCCAAAGTTCGATGCAGAAGTCAAACTGTGGTGAAAGCTTCACAGTCTTCTGATTTTGCTCAAGTTTAGTTTGATTCAGAAATTATTTCTTCTTTTTTTTCATGGTTTTTTAAATAAAGTATTAACCAAATTCCCAATTTTTCAAAATTTTTTCAAACAAAATTAAAATAGCGTTTTTAGTTTTAGTGGTGGAGTTGTAAATGAGACTGTCCAGAACCAAGTAAAAAGTATAGAAGAAAATAAAATGTTCAAATTTTGATACAGTTAGTCAATTGACTATGCTTTTTCTTATTAGTAAATCTATTAAATCTATATTTATAAATCCATTAAATAACTGACAGTGTCATCACTCAACCAGGAGGCCCGTTTTTATCCTTTTCTGGCTGTGTCAAAGAAAATTCTCCCTCCTTCCAGTTTCATCCCGGTGTTTAATAATGTAGCACCTGACATAAACCCAAATTTAACAGACTAATCCATAATTATTCCTCTTTCATTCAAAAATATTGATGTTCCAACTTAGACTGAAAACTGAAAGGCAAGATATAAACAAAAAGGGCCAATCGTTCTTTCTGCCATCTAGTGGTTGTCACATCAACAGCAAAACAAAAAAAGGCCTTAAAAGTGCTTCCAACTTCCACCTGAACCTTCCATTATCGTCCCAGCTATTGTTTCTTTCAAGCTTCATATAATACAACCAAAAGAGTCTCATTGGATCACAAGGCCTAGCAAGTCTGCGTGTGCCCACCGTTACCGGAGGACATCGCCTTCCTGGCTCTCAGCAGCCTGCGGCCCTCCTCGTAGTCGTCCTGGTCAACGCTGATCAGCAGGCGGACGCCCTCAGAGCCGGCGGCCGTCCTCAGGGAGTCCGTGATGAAGACGCCCTTCAGGGCCTCCAGCAGAGCCCCGCTCAGATAGTCGGCCCAGAAGGCCTCCAGGTTGTCTAGCTCTGTGAACTTGATGTCGCAGACGATGGAGCCCAGGTCTCTGGCGCGCAGCAGCGAACTGGCTCTGCTGAACAACTCGAACTGACGCTCCAGCGGCTGACGCTTGTCTGACGAGACGCCCTCACGTAGCGCTGACTCATGCTCCAGGTACTCTGCCCGTACGCGCAGGCGGATATCTGATAACAGCAGAAGGTGGAGGAAAAAGTGGGGGCGGGTGGGAGGAAGTGAAGGGGTCAAAGGAGGCAGCAGATAATGAAGACAGGAAAGAAAATAATGACAGAAAGAGAGGGGAAAGATTTTAAGGGGTCATGAGGGCAAAACAAAGGGGGAAAAGAAAGAAACATTAAAAAAAAAGTTCAGATACTAAATATTTAGGTTCATTCTAGAGTGCTGTGAAGAAGGATTCAATGCCTTTATGGGTTTTTTTGTTTGCTTTTTTTGTCACACTTGAATGTTTCAGATTAAACCTTTTAATATCAGAGAAAAATAACCAAAGATAATATAAAAACACAGCTTTTAAATTCTGATATGTCACATGTTGGCTGTGTTAAAAAGTTGTTACTTTAGTTAAATCATAAATTGACTATTAAAATGAATTTCAAAGGAAAACTTAATTCCATTTCAAAACCAGTCTGAAGCCTCATTACGGTTAGCCCAGTAGAATTAGAAAATACTCTAAATGTAACCAGCCTGACAAGAAACGGGTTTAAAAAAAAATCTCAAAAAGCATGGAGAAATAAGTGATTGAGATGCTGACATTAAACAGGCCAGACTTTAAAATTAGGCTGAATCAAAAGAATTCTGGAAAGAAGAATGGGTCAAAACTTTTTCTAAGTGATGTAAAGGACTGACTGGTTTGTTATTAATGTTTTATAGGAGTTGTTGCCAAATGTGGCGCTGCCAGTTATTTGCTTTAGATCAAAAGCCCTTTTCATTTAGAACAAGGTTGGCTTTCAAATAGCATTTCCATCTTAAGATATAAAATGATAAGTTAAAAGTTGTTTTCTGCATATGAAACATTTAGTGACAAAAAAGCAAAGAGAAGAAATCTACACAGAGTAAACATTTTTCACAGCACTGCATCACCACTGGGCATCATATTCATCAGTATTAAACTGAGCAGTGATTCTTATTTTTTTTTTGTTAAGGGGGCACAGTTCCTACTCAATAAGGCGAAGTCAATATTATTTCTTTTTGTTTTAAAATCAGTTCCAGACAAAAAAAGGTGCAGCGATGCAGAGTAAACTGAGATGAGAGGGCACTGGAAGTAGACCAACCCATCTGAGAACATCTTTGCTGTGAATTTGGCCCCTCGGTTTGTTTTGGTGAAACTTAAGTTGGTAAGTCGGAGCAAGGAAAGAAATACTCATCTGATCCAGCAGTGTTGTTCCATTTCTCGGTCGGTCATTTCTATGAATTTGAGTATCATAGGCAGCTGTTAACAAAACGGTTGAATCAGAAGAAACTGGAGCATGAGAACTTTCAGTGTGACAGCTTTAAAAGGTCCACAAACATCATGGTTGTAGCGTTCATGTAACCAAGTACTAAATGAAGTCGACACCTTGAATTTTTTTTTTTTGTAAAACAGCTCAGCTGTAGCAAGCTTTAGACGGGCTTATTGAGATACTTGAAATCTTTACATTCGGCAGACTCTCAATATTATGTTTCTTTGCAGAGAATAAGTAGCTTCTTGAGTTTCCGCAGTTTACAGGACTGATGGTCATGCAACAGCACAGCGAGAAAGATTAGAGGATACATACTGTACTGAGCAAGAGCAACGCTGAGATCATCTCCCATGACATTTTTCCAGAGCTCCAAGAGGCAACCAGCTGCTGATGACTTTTGCTGCAACAAAGACCCAGCTCTCCCAATCAAAGTTCTCCCAGAACAGCAGTTGTCACAATCTAGAAACATGCTCATTCAATAATGTTTAGTGAAACTAATTATAAACTCAGCCCTTCTAACAAGTTAGAAGGGCTGAGTTTAGTATTTGCTGAAATCATGAGCAAATACTGGAACAATTTAAAGTCTTCAAATATCGGGACTGAAATATCTTTATGTAAATTGTCTTTTCAGGTAAATAAACGAACGACTCTCTTTTATGAAGAAAACAGATTCTAACTACATTTATTGTCAACTCTGGCAAGGAGAAGAAAAGCCTTGAAATACTATGTGGACTTTTTGACCTGCAGAGTGAATTTTATGTATTTTACCTCTAATGAACTTGTTAGTTTCCCCCCTCAACTATTTCAGAGAAAAATTAAATGAAGCATTTATGTTTTTTTTTTTTTTAAAAAAAGTATGACTGAAAACCTGCTATATTTTTTCAACTTATTTGTGTCTGGGAGAGTTTTACCAGATGCAGTGATATATTTGTACCAGGGCCAGGCATACTGTACATACAGCTTCTACCTGTGACTGATGAAAAGACAATTGCAAGAGTTTCAGTCCATGTTGACATGACATTATGCACGAAACTTTAACACATTTCGTTTTCAATCTCATTCAACAGCTACACTCTGATGCGAAAAGTCCCATTAAATCAACATTTTGTTTGAGGCCACAGCGAAAGGCAACCGACTCATTAGGGGAACATTTAGAAAATGCCAACATTAGAAATGCAAATGTAAAATAAAGGAATTGATTTTGAATCCCTTAACATTTGTAGAGGGGTGGTATCAAAACATTGGTTTTCATTTGCATTCTTCAGAAGAGTGTAATTAGATTATAAAAGCAGAAGACTGGCTCAAACAGGACAATCTAAATGTTACATTTGTAAGGACTGGTTGCAAGATTCAGGCACAAAACCAACTGGCTTCATAAAAGTTGAAAGCAAACAGGTTTTGTTTAGGAAAGCATTAAGGTACAAGAACAAATTCAGTTTCATGAAGACATTTAATTCTTACGGCTTACATCACAAATGAACAATTTTATAATATTCCTTTTTATACAATTTATTATTTATATTCTGAAAAGTGAGTACATGGAAGTATTTTTCATGGCCCCATTGCCATACTTTACGATCTCAGTGGACTAATAAAAGATTTTAACTTTTTCATGGCCAAAAAAAAGAATATGCAGGCATATTACAAAGAATGAATGATCAGTCTATCAATAAGGAGGGGAAAGGCCTCATATTTTGTTCAAAAGCAGCAATACCTAACAGGGGAAAGTCAAATATAAGTAAGATTAGTATGGGGGATGAAGAGGAAATAGAAAAGTAAGGTGTAAAAATCTTAAACGATTCTGCCATCTAAAGGTTTGGAACTTCTTTGGTTAAACTTTACAACTGTCCATTGTGTACATCTGCTTTGACTCAGAAAAAAAAAACACTTCCAAAGGTGTTTTGATTAAATTTCACAATTGGGATGTTTCCCATCAAGGCCTCCAGGTAAATCTTTTATTGTTTGTATTACAGCCATGAGTTGCATTCTATCAATCTTCAATGACGATACAATAGGTTGCAAATCAGCTTTAACTTTTATAAAGTACCTTCCGTGGTCAGAGTAAGGCATTTAAAGTCTTATAAATTGACCTTTTCTTTCATTACATAGCATGCTATTGCCAGGGCTACGATAAACACTTGCCAATTACTGCATTTATGAGTGGCCTTCATTTCACACTGAGCAGGATAGGAGTAAAGACAGTGATAGCGAGGGGCAGGCCATTTAAAAACCACAGGAACACAGTGATAGTCATTTTGTTAGGGTTACAGAGCACTTCACGCTTCATCGGACACAGAGACATCCACTTAGACAGGACATTAGGAGGCACAGTTTTCATTACTCACTTTCAGCACCAAGCCCGTTTGGATTCCTCATCTCAGCCCCCCCACCCCTCCCAAAAAAGTTTAAGTACCCATTTATGAGGAGTCGCTTGGCACGGAGAGCTTCAACTCTTTATCGATCCATTTTTCTGGTGAACAACCGACCAAGAGTGGAGAGCTATGGGGAAATCTGAGAGACAGGCACACAAACCTCTCATGTCCCATAGACAAATCACTCTTTACCGTTTTGCGTGGTTTGAACATTTAGTGTTCGATCTCTCACTCTCTCTTTGTGTGTAAGGATATCGCATCCTGATACACACGTTGGGACTGTTTAGAACTGTGAATACAGAAAAAGAAAGAGAGACAAGCACAAGTGGGTTGGATGATAGTTGACTGGGTTGCTGTTTTTTTTTTTTTCCTTCAACATCAAGCAGGCACTTCTTAGTTGTAATCAGCTTTCAGACTGACCAGTAGGAGTCATTGTCAACTTAATATATCCAGATATACTTAAATATGTCCTTATGATACACTGGGATGCTTGGGATTACTCTTATGTTGGACAATTTTCTTACATTCAACCTTGACGACTAATAATTTAAGATCCAACTGCAAAGGCAAACCAACAGAGTCAATTAAACCAAGCATACGCTTCCCCAAGCACCCCTTCTAGGAACAGCAATAATGGCAGTCGTTATTGTCACAGTTTAACTCTGGTGAAAATGGTTTCAGAGATGAGTCATGACAAGAGAAACTATTTAAGGTCTGTTGAAATGCTAGGGGCCAGTGATGGACTGAACTGCCCTATCTATCTCTGCTCCGTCTTGACAAACGCACATGAGGGGCCTCACACGGGTTGCAGAGATAAGATACAGCACGAGCTTCCCTCAGCAGGGCACTACTCTGTTTTCGCAGAACTGCTTGAGAAGAAAAAAATAATTGTAATTTCTTTAAAAGTGGCAGCCATCTTAGATTTTCTGGAAAGAAAAAGGGCTGGTCCTCACATACTGACAAATTGTGTTTCTTAATGATGCCAAAAAGGTGAAATGGGCTTTTTTCACAAATGTGACCAACATATGTCTTTGTTTACCTTCCGTTTTATCTTATGACCTCCTTTTGGACAAATACATTTTTTCACCTATTTTTTTTCTTGTTGTCAATACTGCATTACAAATCAAGCTTGAGGTAGATTCAACTTCATCTCAATAACACTGTTTCTGTCACTTTTAACTTACTTAGCATAAAGACACAAATGAAGCAGTTGATCAGAAAGAAAATATTTAATGAGCAGCAAAATCAGCTGGTGACTGTCTCTATTACTATTAACTATCTTGTCAGGAACCCAAAAATCTGACATTTTTTTTCTCTATATATTCTGCATGAATGTTGGCAGCCATTTACATGCCTAAAAGTTAAGGAAAAATATTTACCTTTTCTGTTAAAATCACTATTGGCAGGTAAAAATTTTACAGAACTGGATGAAGGACATCGGCCATAAAACTCTGTCTGGCACATTACTATAAAGCACTGGTTGCAAATTGACGCTTCATGACTTTATTCATTTTGCAGTTGGGAGTTCTTATATTCGCTTCAATTAAATTTTTTTGTTTTAAAGAGATGAAACAGTTTTAGAAAAAGTTTTATAAACTCAGGAGTAATTTCACTGACGTTTTAAGACAGAATGTTGGCCATATTTGTTAAGATTTATTAAGCTCACTGTACACACTATTCGTTCTTATTAAATGCAATTCAGTTTTGGATTGGCATGACTAGTTAAGACCCACCCAGATATCTCTTGGTAGTTTTACTTTTGAACACAAGCTGCAGATTTGTGAGAGGAATTTGTAGCGCACTGCTGAGGACTCTGGTCAGTTCTGTAAAACAGACTCTTGTCAGAACAGGAAGGAATCCATATTTTGTGGCACAAGGTTTTCTTTTTTTCACAGTGAACAAGACTAGATAACAAAAGATGATTTATCTAAATCCAATTAAATTTGAAGATAGGAGACCAGGTAAGGAGCACCTATACTATGATAGACAAGCATCGTATACAGAGCAAAGTAGCAGCTCCACCCCCTGTTGTAATAGGGAGGAGAGCCTCTTTTTACCTTAGGCATCGGCCCAGACTTGTGAGAGCACATGACTGAGTTGATCACGCACACTGCGGTACGAATGCACAGAGTGGAGTGAGAGACTTTTTTGTTTTGTTCCTCAGTCTCGATCTCTGTCTTCGTGATCCATTGTGTCATAGGTAACTCGATCTGAGTCACAATCGGAGTCAACCTGGTGGAATCAAATGTGGAGTCAAGACAGCAGCATGTTCACAGGCACATCACTCAACTTTAATACCAATGGGGGAGGGCTGTCTTCCTTCTAAGGTTATACTTTGATCAAGTCGGGATCATGAAGTTTTTTTTGTTTGGCCAATATCTAGTATTTTCAGGCAGAGATTGGCCTTTACAAGCAAAGTGTAAGCTCCTTAAATAACTGAGCAAACAACAAAAAGGAAAAACTCTGGTGTAATAGTCATATTCAAGTGTTGAGAAAGGGATGGGTATTATTAGGATTTTACTGACATGACTACTAGAATTATTGCATCTGATAAAGGTCCCTTTAAATTATTTTGAGACAAAATAAAGGTATTTTACCATTTTGAAAAAGTAACAGTTAAAACATAAGAGGATTTATTTGTCAGTGCTGTGGAAGATACTTTAAAATTTGAGAATAGAACATTTAAGTAATATTTGATGATGATTTGTGTTTGTCAGCAGATGGATGCATTTTATTCCATAGAGCTGATGTTGAACAGATTACATGAAGCCCTTCCTATCCTAAAATAATCAGCTATGCAGATCTTACCTATATGTTACTCTCATTACCCTGTTCTATGTACATATACATAGCATAACTTTAACTATTAGTGAGCAAATAAAGCCTGGCCTGTCTGTTGACAATAGACTGACACACGGCTGTGTGATTCTATCTTCACGAGTAGTCAAAAAAAGTAACTCGGACGAAAAAAATAATCAGTCTTTACTGATTTTACCAAAATACTGAACCCTGAATTGAGTGTTAAAAAGTTGTGCTGCAACATCCGTAGTACAATGCCAGGAATTTCCCATTTTAAGCGCTGCCTGAAAAACACAAGACTTCCTTTGCTTGTACAGCATTTAGTCTGTGTGCAATTTGGAGAAGTGCGCACTTCTCCAGAACTGAGAACAAAGCACATATTGATCCCTATGTGTCACGGGCCTAATCTCAAAAGGCCCAGCACCAAGAATTCTTCAAACATTTTTTAAATCTGACAATCCAGTGAGAATGCAATGAGACCAACATATCTTTTCCCGTTTCAGTTCTGTGATGGCCACTCCCCACTGGTGTACCCTGGCAACACAATCTGGATAAGCTACATGTTGCCACAATAAACCAACAAGGTCTCAGTGCCAAAGTTATGTTTGAGTTCAAAACATTAATGGATTAATGCATACTAGGAAGACTGCTGAATTCTTCGTGTTCCGTCTCATTTTTAAAGTGTGTGGAAGAGACCAGAGGAAGCCTAATTAATGAATTACTAGAAACACCAACTGTTACAAAAAAGGTTGCACATTTCTATTTTGTTAGACTGATAATCATCAATTTTAAAAGGAAAATCTTTAAAATTAAAATGACTATTTTAGGTATCTTCATAATTTCTACATGATTTGATTCCAAATATCAACACAAGGAGTACATTTTAAAATACTCCAATTTTCATGTTATATTCACGTTTTTTCACATTAAAGTCGTTTAAGTTTAAAAGAGATAATTTATTATTGAAAATAAAAATTCCTTACTGTGACATTTCAAATCTGAAGAATAATCAGCAGTTTTGTATTGAATCTTGATACCCATCCCAGATAAAAAGCAATAAAATAATCTGTTGCAGGAGTATTTAGTGTCCATTCTCTCTTGAGTTAATGTGTTGCGGTCATCAACAGTTTTCCAACTATTTTTCCAAGACCTTAAGGGATTTTGTTCTCTTTTGAAGGAACCAACTTGGGATATCTTCACGGGTTAAGTTCATTTCAATTATTCTTTACAAATATTGAAGAGAAATTAGATAAAAGCAGCACAACAAAGCAGAACAAGGGCATCTGTTAAGGTGACAGGACTAAAAAACTTGGCTTGAAAGTAAAGAAAAAAAAAAAAGAATAGGGAGTAGCCACCAATTTCCATCCGTAGCAGCAGCAGCTGAACACAGACCAATGGGTTAGGAAAATGTTATATGAGGGCACAAGAATGTAGGGAAAGTCAAGGTGAAGAAACAGAAAATAAATCTTTGATGCTGATTGAGAAAGTTATTAGGATACTGTCCATCCAATAAGAACGTAGGACTGAAAACAGCTTGAATGTTTTGGATTTTGCCGATCAAAAGAGGAATGTAGAAAGTTCTAACGGCGACATTATTTTTGTCCAAACATAAACATCAAATTGTGATTTTTACCACTCAAACTGCAGGTTGGTAAATGTAATGAATGAGCCAGACAAATGTAATTTTGACAATAGCAGCAGTGGGTTTGAATCTGGAGAGTTGATCTCTGCCTTTATGACCAACAATAAAGGCAATTCTAATTCAAATGCACAACACTTCTTAAGGTGTTAAAATGATTTTTAACCTGTTTTTATCTTCACCAAACATATATACAATATATAACAAATATTTTACCATATTTATAGTAAATATGGTAAAATAATTTTTTTTTTAATAGTAACTTACCATATAAGTTACCATATTTATTACCATACAATAAATATGGTAACTTATTTCTCTAGTGTGTGAAACATTTTGTAGAGTAGCACTTCTAAATAGATGGCTTATTTGGTTTCTCCACTAAATGGTGAGAAAGATGACAGGCTTTCAGGAAATGCGATGATTCAAGCTGAGGTTCAGCAGAGATGAACAACATCAGTTTGGGACATCAGTGAATAAAATACAGAAAATTGTTGAAGATGTTAACAGACTGAAGACCGGATGTTTTTGGATATTAAACTTACATGAAGGAAAAACAGTAAATAGGAGGAAAAATTAAAGTCTTTCTGAAAGCAAAGGGAGGAAACTGAAAAGGGACATGTTGCACATGTATTCACTGCACTTACCACATGACACTTTCTGAGGTCCTGATGGGGGAGGCAGTGGCTGGACCCGTCTGCTTGTTTTCTTGGCCCTACGGCTCCAGCCATGTCCCCTTTTCTTCCTCCGCATCCTGGTAGATGACCCAGGCGCTGGAGAGTAAATATCTGAAAACCCAAAGTCTGTGTAACTACCTGAGTGTAAGAAAATGGGCAAAAATTTTACTTTTTTTTTTTAAACAGCTATTGTCGCAGTTTTTTTCTGATTACAATTGCAGCAATAGCAATTGTATGTGCATTTTTCAAAACAGACTTAAACAAAAGTCCGTAATATCATTTAGACATAAATGATACATACATGATTTGATTCAGAGAGAACTCTGAATTCAGTTTGTATGTTATCATGTGATGAAATTTAAAACTTTTAGAAGGCACTTTATAAATATTAGCATTAGCAGAATGAATACTAGTCTACAATAAAAATCACAGGTCAGCAGACTTACCAGTAGTTAACTGTTGTGTGAAGGATGGGAGTGGCATATCTGTCTCTCTGCAGCTATGCTGTAATCCAAACACTAGTTCTGTTTTATCCAATTCAAATCTCTGTCCAATTCTCTCTGGAGACACTGAAAAACAGATTCAAAATTAGCTAACCAATAAATGAATGACTAATTCTGTGAGACTATTACTGAGTGGCAACAGTGAGTGAGATGAGATCACAAATGATTACCTGTCCTCCTCTTCTTGTGGGATACAAATGGCAGCAGATCATGACGGGTAAGCACTCTTAAAAGTTGCAACAGTGGTCCCAGGTTGCCATCACTGAGATATCCTCTCCTCTCAAGCTCCAGCAACAGCTCAAGGCCACTTTTAAACTTCAAGTCCTCTAAAGGCTGCTGTGATCCGCTGGGCTTTAACCGCCTCCATGCCCTCAGCAGCTGTGGACTTGGTGCTACACCAGAGTCCTCTGAATCGTCTTCAGCAGGTTCAACTGTCCAGCCTGCTGGGTCAAGAGGGTGTTGTGCAGGGTAGGTCTCGTTCAAAAGGAAAGAGAGAGCTTCAATGTCAGATTCTGTGAGCTGAGAGCCAACTACTTCAAACATCTCATGGAGAGAGAGCATCCCGTAATAGTTCAGGCACTCTGTTTCCTCCCAGTGGAGTGAGTCCCTGATGGGGCACCCTAGGTACTGGACTGCAGCCATGGTCACAGTTCCACTTTGGTTCCTTCCCACGGTCTCTCTTATCTGACAAATAGGACAGATATACAAATATTATTTTAAACAATAAAATCTTTGGCCTACTCCATGGGCGCCAGGAAGCCGACATTTTTTTTCTCAAATTATTATTATTTATAACAACAATAAAGGTGAGTGTTGTGTGTCAAGCAGTGTTTTGGTAGTTTCCATGGAGCAGAATTAATTGTGGGAGTGGTGACAGTGAGAAACAAAAATATTTTGTGGTTCACAAAGCTTATGCAATTATATATACATTTTAATTTTTGCTGTAGCTTGCTTGACTGTTTTTAACTGCATTATTTGTTAATTAGCAAATTTTCAAAACACAATTTAAATCTAGTGACTTAAATTTTGGATTCAGACCGGGGTCTTATAATTAAAAACAGAGGAAAGACCCTAAAACAAATAAAAGGCATGTTAACAGTAAATGCTGGAAAACTGAATAAGCATATTGATCAAGTTTGTCAGAAGAGAGGGGCTTAAGGTGCTCTATAACTTCTGGTTGATCACTGCTCTGACTTTAGACATAATACAACACAGCAGACCAACACCAGTCCAGACTTGGGACCTAAGTTTTTTTTTTTAAAGTACTTAAACCTGTCTTAACTACATCGCCCCCTGTTTCAGGTGTTGCTTAGCATAATAAAATGGCAATTTAACCATGTCATGGATACATCTCTGTGTCAGGAGTCTTATGATCTGACTCTAGCTAATGACCACGCCTTGTCAATGCTTAACTCTTCAATTGGCTTTTGAAGCCTCCTTGTATTGCATCATAGGTTTTCCTTCCATCCAACTTTCCACTTATATGCTTGGACAAAGCAGTCTTTGAACAGCCAGCTTCATTAGTAATGGCATTCTGTGTGCTTTGCTGTTTGTATCAATAACTGTTTGCTGAACCACTGTCAAGTCAGCAGTCATTCATGATGATGTAGGCGGTAATATTTCTGTACTGAAGCTCCTTTTTCACATTGTCATTATAATATATTCTAGTTTTCTGGAGAGCTAAATTGGGGATTTTCATTCACTATAAACCATACTCATCGAAGCTTACAGAAATAAACCTTTGAAATGGATTTCTGAGTGTAGAATTTGTATTAGCTTTTTAATGGAATTCTAATTATAAGAGGCTCCTCTACTTCATAACAGCCCAGCATTAGTCACCGGACAGTACTGCAGGGAACTAAAGCATATCGAGGTCTGCGGATTTACCTTTTATCGTCAGTAGCTCGACGCTGTTTCGAGACTCGCCAAACGAGCCACTAGCTGTGGTTGTTAAACTGTCGCTTTGTGCAGCAGAATGCAGCAAAACGCCAGAGGCCAAATACAAGTTGTCCTTTCTTCTGACGCCCAGCAGCAGCGCTGATTGGTGGAGCCGTGTGATGGTTTATGTAACCCGTCACGTTTTCTATTGGAAAACAACAACAACAATGCTTTTTAAATTTAACAAAAAAGTTTCTTTTGCTTGAGAACTGGAGGTTAGACCAACAGGCATTTAGTAGGTTGTTAACATGCATCGGTCCTTTGTTAGCAGCCGTTTTCTACCGTTTGTGCTAACCGACATGTCGCCTATAACATCGCTTGACTCTTGTTATGGAAGCACAGCTTTGCTTAAGAATAAAGAGCGTGCTGTGAAGTATTTGGAAACATTTTAGACTTGCTCTTTCAGTAAAATAAAATACATAATTGATACTTACAATTCTCTTGTTATTTCTCCGCTTCCGCTGGAAAATCTAGCAACTTCCACAGACCAACGTCCACGATGACGACAACAATGGGAAAACGACCAATCATATCCTTGCTTGACGGATGATGTAAGGTCACGTTTTTACGCCACTGATCTGCGGTCAGTTCTTTGTGCGATCTGTGAACTGTAAAGAACAAGGACAACGGGTACCACACAGCTGATCTCATGTCTGTCGCTTGGCTTACAAGAATACATTCAGATATGCATTTCGAGTTTAAACACACATGGAAAGATAATGATATTAATACCAACCTCTTTATATTCTGTGAAGCATCCCGTTTTCAATGAGGTTCATCGTCTGGCCAATAGGTGGCAATGTGGTGCATCAGAATGCTGATATGTTTTTTTTTTCTCCTCTCTCTTTCTCTCTGTGGCCACATCACATCCGTGATCCTGAACAGCAACAAAGAGGTGGAGGTTGTCTTATAAAACTTTTTCAGTGAGTACCTCGGTTTTGTATTAATGATTGTATGATGTACAGTTTTAAATGTCCTATAGTCGTCAAGAACGTATCTGAGTCTGTAAAGTGTTTTGCTGTTATGACGAGCTGTCCGCTTGACGTAAACGTTAGCAAAGTAGCTACATATTAGTGTCTTGAATTTCCGGTAAAGTTGTGTTTTTAAACATATATTTATGGATATCACCTAACAAAGCGACTCTCTAAATAAAAATATTATTGCTAACAATAACAGATTCATGAATATCATGTTTGTTGAGTGATGTGGTATTGACCAGGCCCTTTATGATTGTAATTTTCCACTGCCCTTCTACTAACAAGGCATTCAGCCGGTTTGAGCCAACATTTGATCAACAATCTATTCAAATACGTAAGTAAGTTTTCTCTGGTGTAAATTAAAAGCCTTTGGATTTGAGAGTGATCTATTGGTATTGTTTTTTTTTTCAGGCTTTAGCATAGGAGTAGTTGCCTTGAGGACCATTCAAGGCAACTACTTTTTCTAAAGTTTTAACCACCAAATGTATTGTATAGTGGGTTCTAAAAACATGCAAGCTATTTTATTTATATTTGTATATTGCTTTACAGAACTCTTCTCCCTCTAATAATCTTGAGCTGTCCAGGCTTTGTGATGATCTTCCAAACAATTTTGCAAATAAACTAAAACAAAGATTTTATATCTACACATTTTCTCCCTGTTGGTTCAATGAATTAAAAAAAAAAACAGGTAAAGTAATTTGAATGAGTTAGGGCAGTGGTTCTCACCTTATGTAACAAGTACTCCCCGGGTAAACACTAGAAATACAGCAATCTGTCAGCCAGATGTAGCAATTTTTTCATTGATCGCCAAGTTATTTATTGAAAAAACAGATTCTGTTTTTCTTATTCATCAAGTTTGTAGAATATTATTTTCTGGTACTACTGTGACAATTAACATTGAAAGAACAGATTTGGACTTTTTCACCAATCGAATGTCAAAATCCAATTTGGCCGCTTCATTTTTTAAACGTTAGTAATAAAATGTCACTTTGTAACATAAAAAATTGCCAAAACTGGCTTGTAATAAATGTTAACTTCATAATATATTAAATAACTGCAGTCACCATTGAAGCATGTGTACAACATCACAATCCCAAAAGTCTCCTTTGACGTAATCCTAGGTTGTCAATTATATTTTATGTGTTTTGTATTCATTCTCCACTTGATAACTGTGTATTAGTTGAGTTATATGGGTTTTGATCCCTTCCGTTATACAGAATTAAGTGTCTGAGGTGTGAATTCACCTACTGATTTAGATGAAAAGGAAAATGTTTATCACACCGTATATCTTCATCACAACATTCAACAATACTATGTTACAATTGTATGCTTTCCTACTATAGTGCAACTCTATTGAACTTTCTTGATATTTATTAAATATCAAGCAATATTTTCTGAGTTTTTCTAAAGGCAGCCTAAGTACCACCACCAAAAGAATTACTGCTCACTTTTTGAGTAGCAGCTGCTGGATGATCAACTTGTTGCAAATGTGTTCAATGTTTAGTTGCATTTTACATCCAGACATTTTAAATTTTTTGAAATCCCCTTTCAGCAGAAAGTCTTCAGATGTCCTCAGGTGCACCAAAGGGAGAGAACTGCCTTGTGGACATGGACAGCAAGGCTGGAGATCTGTTTGGTGCAGAGGATGCTCATCCGACTGGAATGGGGGGTAACGGCGCTACTGGAGTCCTGGCGAAGTAAGAACCTTTCACTTTAGATTTTTTTTATGTTAAAAATAACAGATTACATCACTGTTATTACATAGATTATTTTATTTTCATATGTATTTTACTTTGCCTTTACTTTCCAGGTTGTGGCTTCCCAAAGGCCTCTCAGTCAGCATGGCTAAAGAATGGTTTGACCGCCGCAGGATGTCCATTCGCCCGTGGGCCAGTTTTGTTGACCAACGGAAGTTCTCAAAACCTCGGAACTTTGGAGAGCTCTGCCAGAGGGTGGTGAAAAACGTGGAGGTTTACAACAGCAACTACACCTTCATCTTTCTGGGTCTCATCCTCTACTGCATGTAAGGCCTCAATGAGTTGGATCAGTGTTGGTTTAATCTCAAAACAACAAAATAATGTGCACCTCATGTTCTCATATTAGCAGTTGTTTTTCTGTAGTCTGTGTGATTAAAACACATTTAAACAGTCATGAGATAAGAATTGTTATCTTGAAATGTGAGTGATTGACTTGTCTGTGCTCCTGGTCCTCAGCATCAGCTCACCGATGCTGCTGATTGCCTTGGCTGTGTTTGGTGGTGCCTTCTACATTATCCACCTCAAGTCTCTGGAGTCCAAGCTGGTTATCCTTGGTGAGTAAAGTTGGCATAAAATGAAGTTATGTATTTTTTACGTGTGTTGCTTGGATGAATTTCATTTCTCAGATTTTCTTGGAAGCATGTAGTCGTTTTATCATTACGTGTAAGCCCAACTAGTCCTGTACTAGGCATAACAAACCTGCATGTATAAAGTTTATCAATTTGGTTTTTTTTGTGCTCTCTTGTTCATCAGGTAAAGAGCTCACCGTCCCTCACCAGATGGGTTTAGCTGGAGCCGTCTCTCTGCCCGTGTTCTGGTTGGCAGGAGCTGGAGCTGCTGTTTTCTGGGTTTTTGGTAAGTCAAAAAAACCACTGTAGTTAGGTCTTGCCACATGTTACTGATCTAGCATGAGTTTGCTGGCAACAAATTTCCAACAGAATATGTGGTACTGTACACACTGTACATGTATATTCATAGCTTCAGTTGCCATGCTCACAAAATCTGTGACATTAAAAGATTATTCAAAGAAATACACACTTTTTTCAGGTGCTTCTCTCCAAGAATTACAAGAAACTAAAAGACTCAAACAAAACCTGAAACTTTGTTTAAGGTCATGCAGGTAAAACTGTGGTGCTGCATGACAACCCATACAGACACACACATCCCTGTATCCTTACTGTTTTCATTTCAGTTGAACCACAGATTTCCTGTAGGAGATGTACAGTTTTAACTCCAGTCAGTCTCCAGGTGTGCTATTTTGTTTACCTATATATGCAGGTAACTTCAGTGGTTGCTTTTTACAGTCGATGGTATATTGATGCAGCCAACCTCTCAAATTTTCAAACCAAGTTAATGATAAAAACTATTGATAAACTTTAATCTAAAAGAAATGTGCTAAAAACTTGTGCTGCTATTCATCATTGCACTAGTGTGGAATAATAATGTTGCTTTGGCACAACTTAATTTTCTCTGCTACACCTCAGGTCCACACTATCTGAAGCCTGGTGTAGAATTAAAGGCATGTTATGTGACAATAACTTTACACCCAAATGTCTGATTAATGAGGGCTGTTCTATTTCTATAACCTTGGTTGAGTTTTTTTCCTGCTGATATTATTCGGTTCCATGGACTGCTATTGTTTTATTAAAAAGCTTGACATATTCTCTGTCCTAAAATGCATTTTTCCCTTTTTTGTCTCCTCCCAGGAGCTACGCTGTTTGTGATTGGCTCCCATGCCGCCTTCCGGCAGCTGGAGGGAACAGACTTAGATGAACTCCTCATGGAGTCCGTGTGACGACCCGGCTGAACTTGAAGCAGGGTTGGGCTTTTTGACCCAGTGATTGCACCAGCCTTCAGGTGTTTGGGGGAAAAACTGCTCTGGAACCTGTTTCCAAGCTATATGTGTATCTTATATTCCAGGTATTTAACATGGCATTTATCAACGCACCTTACATTGCGTCAAAGAACTGTTGTTACACTCTTTCATGTACATAGATGGTCATATGCACAAGTCATGAATTTTTCAATAATCAATTAAAGCACATTGTGAGATTATGGGCCTTGATCTGCATATTTCTAATCTCTTATGCCTCTGGTTTGTGTCAAAAGCCTCTTGCTCTTTACTGATATACTCGCCATCTATAAATAGAGCTTCCACAATAAACTCTCTGCTGTAGAAACAGATTCTGTGCATATTTCATATTTATAAATAGCTATGAGTAATTTCCAAAGGTTAAGTGCCATATAAAGCTTTAAAATACTTGTTGTTATTGAATGAAATGCTAATTTGAGAAAAGCTTCTGGATTATTTACAAGGTACTGAAGGCTTGCTGTGTTGAGAGTTTCACTGTTCTCATGGTGTGCATATTTAATCAGTCTGCTTTGAACGTTCAGCTAATGAAAACATGCTTCAGAAATATGCTATTTGTTTACATTTGATAGAAATGGTGTGTTTTTGTATTGGAATATTTGGAAGTGCAATAAATCCTCCTCACTGATTCGTCCTAAAACAGCACGGTTGTCTTCTGTTTGTGCATGGTTGGCAGTGCTTTGCGTTGAACTTCGCGGCCCTCAGAACCCCGTCTGTACCGTTCAGTTATTATTCCGGTCCAGTCTGAATGCACAGTGGAATAAAACGCCATGAATCCCTGCTCTCCCTTTCTCTCTCACTCTTTTTGTGTGTCTGCGGCACAGCAAACTGCACCGTTCACTGACAACCGCCCCCCCCTTCTCGCTCTCGTTTCCCCTCCCTTGTTCCCCCTCTCCATGTGACCCCTGTGACCTGTGCTCTCTGACAGCACAGCCGAAGGACCCCATGCACCGGTTACCATGGCAATGACCTTGGAGGGCCCCAGCCAGACATTCACCCATCCACAGGAACACTCGCTTACACACTGCGGCAAAAGCCGTGCGATCGATATTCTATTATACGGCGGGGAGAGAGTGGGGAGTCGCAGTGCAGTGAGCTCACTGCAGAGACACCAGGGAAATTAGAACAAGGGTGAGAGTGAGAGGGTGTTTGTCAGCGAGAGTGACACAATGTGTGTGTGAAAGGGAGCAGGTTTGTCATTAGACAGCGGTGGAGCAGTCTCTGAAAGTTTTTGTTTCTCCAGTTTTTTGCCACAGCAGGCAAAGTATTTAAGCAACCTCAGATGAAGCAGAATTAAACCATCCGTGGCTTCCTGTGTACTGGACAATCTACAGGAGGTTTATATAGAACAGATGACCTCTGAGAGGTTACAGCCTGAAGGCAGGAGCTTCAGGAATGCAACCTTTTCTTATTCTTGGTCCATACCACACCTTCACAATGCTTCTTGTTTTTCTGCTTACAATAATACTTACCAATCTTGTCTCTTATTGAAGCTCATATGTTGAAGTCAGGTGAGGCTGACATTTACAGGTTTTGGTGCATTACCCTGGGCTGCTGCCAACTCTTCCCCTATAGATCAGAGACACCAGGTGGCTCCTTATTCTCAGATTCATGTTAGGCCATTTCAGCTACAATCACTTGCATATCTGCACCAAAACTACATTTATGTCATTATATAATAAAAGAGTGGAGGAAAACTGCAAGAATTAATGTGAAATGTCTATCCATTCAAATTAGGAAAACTGTATTCAAGTAAAGGCAAAATACGTATCGCATGTAACAGAAGAACTTCTTCACTATCTGGAAAAATATGGAGTTTGATTCAATTGTTTTCCAGATTTCAAATGTACTTATGATTATAAAATAGAGTAAAAAACGTAAATGTCAGGATTTTATCAACCCTACTGCTTAAATCCATCCAACTGCTTCCTACTAATCTTTTTTGTTTTACAGCTTCCATACCTGAAGCGATGTGTAACCTGGTTCGCCATGAGTTTACAGTGATTTTAAGTTCAGCATAATTTTATATTTTACTTTTGTGTTTCTAAAAATTTCAGTCTGGAAAATGGAGGAATTTCAACATGAAAGATGCAGGAAGTCAGTGACACAAAATCAAAGCCAAACACACAAGTTTAGGTTGTATTAAATGTTCTAGATGTTTTATTGGTGTTGGTTTCATTTATTTGACACACAATATTTCTACAAGTTTTGTATGACTGTATTTTTTCTTCATCAATCTCATCCCTTTCTGTGGTCTGGGATGGACCCAGCTGAGACTGCTGGCCCCCTTCGACTGGTCTCCAACACGCAAGTGTGCACAGATCCGAGCCGGACTGATCGGGATCAGGACCTGGGTCCTGTAAGAAGGGCTCCAGGCGCATGGACTCATACTGTCGCCACTCGAACTACATCGCAGAAAACTTTCACCACATCATACCTGCACACATGCCTTGATGGGAAACCTGAAGCCTTTTGGTTTGATAAACACAACCTGACACCCTGCTTTGCTGTTACACCGAAGATTAGCCTCTTGAGAAACCAGCAAAAAAAAAAAAAAAAAAAAAAAAAAAAAGAAAAAAACAAAGAAAATACAAAAAGAGAGACACAGATCCTGACCAATAGTGTGTTTATGCTCTTCATGAATGTCTCTCTTGCATTGCTTTTCAACATATTTTTTTTTTTATTGTCTCATTTAAATTCAGGAATAGAATTATATAGATTTCCTAGAGCACACAGAAAGATTGAGTTGATTTACCAACTTGGGGTGAAGGGGATGTACTGTAATAGTTATTAACAACGACAATGGTTCACACTGTGCACACAAACAGAGACAAATGGGACAGGAGGGAAAGGGAGAGGAGGGCTGTGAGAGACAGAAGGGAACAAGAGGGAGGTCAGGACGCCATGAGATGTGCTTTGTTAAGCCTAAATGAGGAAAAGTTGCTCTCACACACCTTCTCTCCCATATCGGAAATAAAAAAAGACAAATAAAACATCAAAATCCCTCCTGCCCCCACATATTAAAAAAACAACAACACTGATTGTGGAAAACAGAAGAAACGAAAAATAAAAATGGATGTAGTGAGGTCGTAGGGGAGGTGACCACTCTGCGGTTCCTCCACAAACAGGAGACAGAGGCGAGAGGTGGCAGTCGAAGTGGTGGCCGGCATTGGGATCACTCGGTGTGATCTTTTAATCTGTGTGATTGGAGGACAAGCAAAGGGCTGCTGGCGGGGAGAGAAAGGAGATGGGCCTACTAAAATACAGAGGGGATGGGAAAGGGAGGAGAGGAAGCTGAATGGTCCTTTTTTGCAGAGCATAGACACTCCCTCTGTATCATCAGCTCATTCAAATCTACATACACAATATGCAGCTGCCGTTTGGTAGATATATTGGTTTAAGTACACAGCAGTGAGAGAACACATGCAAAGAGTATCATAGGAGATAAGGAGAAGGGGCGCAGGGCAAATGTAGAAAGTTGTAAAGGTGCTTTTGCTGTTTTTAATCTTTGGGGCAGTTGTGATGGAAATTGCTTGAAAGCGGGTTTTGTCTTTAAAAGGGGGGCAGAGGGCATCTGGAGATGAGTCTTGCCGAGGATGAAGTGAAGGGGAGAACGGATGAGTAGAAGATGTAAAGGGGCTTGAGCAAAGGCGCTCCACTGATCAATAATATGTCTCCTTCTCCACCCAACCTGCAGCACAAATAAGAAAAACACAGAGAAGTTCACACAAATAAATAATTTAAAAAATGTGAGAAGCAAGGACTTATGACCTAATCTGGAGTGAAATATTTTACGCTAATTTCAGGAAACAACAAAAAGAAAAGAAAGAAAAGCTCCTGGCAAAATGGTTTTACCCTTCATCAAGAACAAACAGCAGCTTATTTTGACAGCAGTTCTGCAGAACGTGACCTGCCTTTTTCTCTCCACTAAGAAACACTCCTGAACCTAAAGGAGACCTTCTGGGTGGAGAGAAGAACAACTGTGCTTTTGAAAAACTTGCCAAAAAACAATTTCTGCCTAACTTCAATCACATGGAGAACGCAAAAGTGCAAAAACGTAAACCTCATATTTTCCATACAACCAAAACCCTTAATAAGAGAAAAAAACAGAGACTTACCGCCAGGGTTCCGGCGGAGGATAAGTTTTCGTACTTCATCATAAACAAAGATGAGAAAACTATATGGGAATGCACAGAACCACCAGGAAGGCCTGCAAACAAGAAATGAGTAAAGTAAGCAAGAAATATATCATGTCTTATAACAGAGCGAAACTTTAATCTCTGAGACATACTTTAGAGGATACATCCTGAGAGCCACATCCATGCCAGGGCAGTAGGATAGGAAGGCAGCCAGCGCAGTTTCTTCAAACAGGCCAAAGATCAAAATCTTGTTCCTGAGCGCAGAAATGCAGCAAGCATCAGTAAGAACAATTCATGAATACTTTTAGACATGCATATGTGTAGCTCCAGCACTGACTTCATGCCCTGCTGGAACACAGAGTTACGTCTGGTCTTGCAGATGATGAGATCGGCCCACTGCACCACCACGATGCTGACAAAGAAGGCTGTGTGACATGTAAACTCGACAATCTTCCTCTGTTCGTATGTCTGTGTGAGGAAAGAGATGACAGATCGAGAGTAAGCCCAGTTGGCAAAACATGAAGAAAGATACTGAAACTACAAAAGAAAAGAAAAAGTCACGTACCCACTGCTGTCCATAGCTGTCTTCCAGGTCGTTGCAACTGCGGTCATCCCAGTCCAGTCGGATGCCAAGAAGTCGACTGGGCAGGAAACCATTTTCAGCCAGGATGACAAAGTAGCTGAAGAAGCCTCCCAAGGCCTGGATCATTCCTGTGGAGGCAGACAGGTTGACATAATGCAGACATGGTTTATGTTCAACAAATAAGACTAAAATAAGGTATTATTAAAGTAAATACTTTCAGGTAATCCATCTAAAAGAAACAGAATTTACAGCTTCAGTAGATTTATTGATATCAACAAGTTTGAGTTTTCTATTTGTGCTCCAATCCCTTGATACTGTCTGTATCATCCCCCTAAATACATGTTACATTAGCCGATTGGAATTTTAAAAGACGATAAAATACACAAAATATAATTTGTAGTTTATTTTTTCATTCTTGTTGACACCTTATTGTTCATGTTTTGGTCTCACAAAGATGATTTGTTGTTTTTTAAGTCAACCAAGCTGTCTTTAATTTCATGTTTCAAGGATTCAAACTGAATATTTACTGATTTGATAAATGAGTAAAATCCAAGCTGTTTCAAAAAAATGTCAATAATTTACAGCTGAAGTTCAGGATTTATTCACAGTGTTTCATGTGAGGGGGAATTAACACCTAAAATTTTTAATTTCAAAGTAAAATGTACCTTTTCACTATTCACAGTGGGAATATCACATTCAATAGGAATGAATGTGACCTTTTTGTAAAATAAAGGGACTATTATAAGTCATTTAACTGGCATTTATTCTAACCAATAAAACAGAATAACATTCCCTAAAGATGTTTTTCTGATAGGTTCATAGAAAAACATTTCACAAGTTTATATGTAAATAGTTTATAGTAAATCACCCTAGAAGATTAGCGGTCTTGATTTTTAACTTTCAAGTATAATTTTGATATTTTAAAGTCGTTTTGATACTTCTTCAGACAATAGCTTGTATTTACATACAATTCTTGTGAATAATTGCAAGAACATTTAGTTTAGTCTTTTTTGCACACCGATTTGTCCATAAGCGATGCTGATGAGCCTCTCATTTACAAGCTTGTCCCTGAAGGGGTTCCTGGGCTGACGCTTCATGATGTCACTCTCAGCTGCTTCATAAGCCAAGGAAATAGCTGGAACCTATCAAAGGAAGAGAAACTTTCAATACTGCACAGCTGTTTCTAAGTGTATTTATATAAAGTCACACTGTCTGGCTTTAATTGTTCTCACCATGTCAGTTCCCAAATCGATGCAGAGGATAGTGATGGTTCCCAGAGGCAGAGGGATGTTGGCGATGATGAAGAACAGGAAGGGGGTAATCTCTGGGATGTTGCTGGTCAAGGTGTAGGCGATGGACTTCTTTAGGTTATCAAAGATCAACCGGCCTGATGGTAAATAAGTGGAAAAATCACATTAGACAACATTTACAATGGAAATCTGGGCATAGACATGCTAAGATGCTAAGCTTTATTCAAGATTCAGACATTGACCAAAAGGCTTGGTCATATGGAAAGGAAAAACTTACAAAGTACTCTATGCTTAGTATGAATATTTAATGCAAAAATAAACAAAGATACTTTAAGCTGAACACTGTTTTGTAAACAATTTAGAATATAGATTAAAGTAAACCTAGTCTACTGAGCCCAATTACTCTGACGAATTGGCCCAGAATCATATTGGTTAAAAGCTAAACCACACTTGGTTGACATAATATCCAAATTATGTTATTCTTCATCAATTTATATATATTTTATTCATAAAGACTTCCCATCAGATTATGTTTTTCTAATCAAATTTTCCACATTCTTCCATTATTTAAGGTTTCCATTATCAACACTTTATCGATCTCGTCTCAGTCCTGTCCACTGGGCCTTCCCACCTTCTTCCACTCCAGTGACAATGGAGGCAAAGTTGTCATCCAATAAGATCATGTCTGCAGCCTGTTTGGACACATCGGAGCCTGAGATTCCCATGGCAACACCGATGTCGGCCTTTTTCAGAGCAGGAGAGTCATTCACACCATCACCCGTCACAGCGACAATGGCACCCTGAGATAGACGGAGAAAAGGCATGAGATGCTGAGATGATCTACCAAAGGAACTGGATTTATTTTAAAACCGTCAAACTCAAACATTCTGAAAAGCCTTAATTGTGGAAGTATCATTTATAATAAATATTATCTTACTTTTTAAGGTATAAATAAGATTATGTTTGACAGGCTGAATTTGTTTTCTGACATAAACTGTTTAAATTATCTACTTAATTTCAGTTGAAATGTAACTGAAAATAGCTATTTTATTTAACTGTATCCTTTTGCCTAGAGATGCCCATTTACTGGATATCTAGCACCACCTGCTGGTGAACTAATATAACATGTCTGACACAGACTACTGTAATTCCATGCAGTACGATGTTTCCGATAAGCCTACTCATTAGAACAATCTCTAAATGTCTCAACCTGTCTCTGGCATCCCTCCACAATGATGAGTTTCTGCTGTGGGGAGGTCCGAGCGAACACGATCTCTGTGTGATTCCTCAGGATGTCGTCCATCTGGTCCTGAGACAAGTCCTTCAGGTCCGAGCCATGAATCACACAAGCTTTGGCATCCCTGAATATAAATAGTGAAAACTTAAGCTTTGTGGAAACACTGATATGCAAGTGTTTTTCATTTGTCATTGTTGTGTATTATGTGTCTTTGTTTTTTATGTCTATTTGGATTATGAGTCTGTTGAATAAATAAATAAATCAAAAATGCATCATTCAAGTTGTGCTTTCACTAAAAGTTCTGCCCTTGCCTTCTGTGCGTATCAGACAGCAAATGTTTACCTTGGGTTGACCTGAGCAACAGGTATATTGAGACGAGCTGCGATGTCCTCCACTGTCTCGTTTCCCTCTGAGATGATGCCCACTCCCTTGGCAATGGCTTTGGCTGTGATTGGGTGGTCACCAGTGACCATAATGACCTACAACAGGAACCAGTTTAATATTTTATCCATCCTTAAAATGTATACAATGCAATGATTTGGTATAACTCACCTTGATACCAGCGGACCTGCATTTTCCCACTGCATCTGGCACAGCAGCACGAGGAGGATCGATCATGGACATGAGGCCAACGAAGCAAAGGTTCTCCGTCTGGAAGTTAACATCATCTGTGTCGAAGGCAAAACCTTTCGGGTATTGGTCTTCTGGCAGGAGCAAGTGACAGAAACCTGCGGGGGAAAGCGAAATGTTATTAGTGGTAATTCATTTTTCTTCTCTTATTCTGTAACATTCTAGAAAACGATCATAAATGTACAATTTCTTGATTTGACAATGGACTGATTTTAGAAAAGTGTAAACCACTCTTTGAGTACTACTGTTGACTTCAACAACATGTCAATAAAATCCACATTTTTTTCCTGCTGAACATTATCACTGCATTCACCATTATGGCTCCTCACCCAGTACACGCTCTCCCAGTCCTCCCAGCTCCATGTATGCACTCTGGAAAGCCTCCTTCATCTCCTCATCCATAGGCTGCTCTTTTCCCTGAATCACAATGGTTGAACAACGGTCTAGGATCCTTTCAGGGGCGCCCTTCATCACCAGCAGGTAACGGTTGTCATTGGGATCCTCAGTCTCATGTATTGAAAGCTGAATAATAAAAATTAAGGTTGAGATAAACCCTGCTGCATAAGGTATCCAGTCCCTTTCAAAAGTATTCATATTGCTTGAACTTTTCCATAATTTGTTGCATTGCAAACACAAACTTCACAAAACAAAGTAGTAAATATATCATTATATTCCACCATTATGCATTGGATGTGTTTCTCATCAGGCAGAACAGGGAAGCTGATCTGACTTCATGGAAAGATGGATGGAGCTAAATATTGAGCTAAATCTGAGTGGAAACATGAGACTATGGAGGAAGTTCAGCAGGACAAAACCTATAAACATACAACAAGAGCTAAATTTCAGGCTTAGGTCAAAGCATAATCTTGTGTAAAATTGGCCTAGTCAAAGCCCCAAAAAATCCACAATACTTCATGTGGATCTAAAATCTACATAAAGTAAAATAAACTGGAGATCAAAGGGTATGAATACTTTAGAAATACATTGATGATTCAGTTAGACTAAATAAAAATAAAAAAAATAGGTGATTTTGTTAACTTAAGTAATAAAACTGAGTTTAACCAAGTAAATATTTAAGTTTTGTTTTATATTATACAAATGTAAATAGAATCAGTTTGACAAACTCAATTAAATTACATGAAGTAAATGAATTACATTTTTTCTAAGTTGGAACACCATTCTCTTCTTTTTTGGAGAATGATAAAAGTTGCCCACAGGCATCTATATTGAGTAAAATATCCACCTGGTATTTGTTGGTGGAGTTGAAGGGAATCTCGGCCACTTTCTTGTTCTTGTCCCTCATCAGCCTGACGGAGCCGCAGGACAGCTCGATACATTTCAGCAGAGCCGACTCCGAGGCGTCTCCGGCCACGTCTCGCTTCAGGATGGGCACGGGGTCTTGGCCGGCTTTGAACTGCGCACGGTTACACAGAGCAGCAATACGGGACAGAGCCTGCCATGTTGCCGAGCTCTTGTCGAAAGAAGCACCTGAGGGAAGGACGGGAAGGACGGGTTTAAGCTGTGCAACATGTTTTAAAAGCCTGCACCGTCTGTGCCACATGCCCTTTCCTCTCTAACCTGACTGATCCTCTGTGGTGTCAGCCTCATGGATCTGGTTGTCGAACCACATGTGGGCTACAGTCATCCTGTTCTGGGTCAGGGTGCCTGTCTTGTCAGAACAGATGGTGGAGGTGGAGCCCAAGGTTTCCACAGCTTCCAAGTTCTTAACCAGGCAGTTCTTCTTCGCCATACGCTTGGCAGTCAGAGTCAGACACACCTGCAGGCACACAGACATAATGTTAACTTTCACTGTATTTACCTAAAATACGTGAATTCAGAATCTCTGGTCCCTTACAGTCACAGTGGCCAGCAGTCCCTCAGGCACATTAGCCACAATGATGCCAATAAGGAAGATGACAGCCTCCAGCCAAGTGTAACCCAGGATGATGGCCAGGATGAAAAAGGTCACGCCCAGGAAGACGGCCACACCCGTGATGATATGGATGAAGTGTTCGATCTCCTTGGCGATGGGGGTTTTGCCGGTGTCCAAACCGGAGGCCAGAGTAGCAATGCGACCCATGACTGTGCGATCTCCAGTGTAGATGACAAGACCACGTGCTGTGCCTGGTTAGAAAAAAAAAAAACAAGACAACTTGTTGGACTGAGCAACATGGAACAACATAATACATACTGTAAATGACAAAAGTCATATCAGGGATCTCTACTTAAATTGTGCTTTTGAACTCTTGAATACTGATCACTTGCTGCACTAACTTATGAAGAGGGCCAGAGACAGCCCATATATATTGAATAATTTAATTGACTCTTAAAATGGGCAAATTTAGGTGAACAGCTATTTTCTTATAATCAATTCCACCAACTGCAAAGATCAACACACATTTGCTTGACATTCTTCTGTCTTTCCCATTTTGAAATGTCCATACAAGAAATGATCCTGTGTATACCTGTACGTTTATGTCCGATCAGCTTGAAAAGTAAAACAGAATTGTGACACTGCATTTATTTGATAGCGAAATAATTATTTTCCCTGATTGAGAAGGATTTCTATTCTTTAGAGGAAATAATGTTCTCAAATTAAGGACCATATTTTGTAATGTTTTTGGCATGAGGTTACAGCTGCAATTGTGGAAGTTGCTATAGATGTGCAGAATAACATCATATGTACCTTCCACACAGTTGGTGGAGAAGAAAGCAATGTTGCGGGTCTCCAGAGGGTTGTCATGGGTGCAGTCAGGTGACCTGCTTTGTGGTTCTGATTCTCCTGTCAAGGAGGAGTTATCCACCTGTCGAACAGCACAGAAATAGATTTTAAAAAAATGAATCAGACCATAAAATACACTGAAACATATATAATTTTGACTGTTGCACCGGTTTGAGTCTTTGTCTGTACCTTGCAGCCATGAGCAGAAATCACCCTGATGTCAGCAGGGATCCTGTCTCCTCCTTTCACTTCAATCAGATCTCCAGCCACAACTTCTTCAGCGTTGATCTGCACCTTCTCACCCTCACGGATCACCAGCGCTTGCTGCAGGGTGAAGAATACATTAATATTTTAATAAATTGATTGTGAGGAGCTAAAGTTGGTTTGAGAGCTGAAGGGCTCCAATTAAACCTTTACGGAGACATTAAACCTTTACGGAGACATTAACTGTAGCTCCACAAGGATTTCCAGGTGTTAATTTTGCTTTTGTTTTATAAATCAATTCATGCAATGGGTTAAAGGTTTTAAAGCATATTTTGCACAAATTTCCAGATACATACTGTATTTCACATGAATTTCTAGAAAGCAACATTGAAACACAATGTTGCCACCATTGTGCAGTGGGAATATTTTTCATCCGGAGGAACAAGGAAGATGGAGTGAGACGATGAGAACTAAATTTAAGGCTATTTCAATAACCACAGGTCCAGTTTAATCACTGACACAAGACCAAAAAGCTGAAAAGTTGTCCTATTTTATTTTGAAAATGTTTGAATTGATGAAAACAATCACTAGGTTTGACAAAAAAGATTAATTTGTGATTTGATGAAAAGAAATAAAAGGGGGTTATTTAAATATTAATAAATGTAAAAATCCATTTAATTTTTCAGAAATCTTTGATTTTGTCATCCATAGTTTGCTATTCAAAATAATGATCCAGGCCAATATAACATAATATTCTCATATTCAGCAGAAACTCCATCAATACAAACATTTTTGCACCTCTCACAATAATTGCTTGTATCTTTCAAATTTGACAAAAAAAATTAAAACGTTTCCTATATTTCCTGCATGCTTACCTGTGGCACCATGTTCTTAAAAGACTCCATGATTTTGGAGCTCTTGGCCTCTTGGAAGTATGAGAAGCAACCAGTGATGACGACTACAGCTGTGAGCACAATACCTAGGTACAACTGTGGCAGAGAAGAGTCAGAGAAACAGGTTAACATCTGCACAGGTGTGAAGAGCAAAGCTGCAGTGCATGACACTAAAATCAATTAGTCAAGGCGTTATTTTTATTTGCTTCTTCAGATTCCTGAATGTGACGGATATGTTAATGAGGTGTAGCTGCTCCATATGTGGATGTGTTCGCTCACATTGTCGCCTGCAGGGTCGTCCTCTGTGGCTGCCTGGATGGCGTAGGCTAAAAAGCAGAGAATGGCGCCGATCCACAGCAGGATGGAGAACCCACCAAACAGCTGGCGACAGAACTTGACCCACTCCGGGGTGGTGGGCGGAGGGGTGAGAGCGTTGGGACCATCTCGGAGCAGAAACTCTGCTGCCTTGGCATTAGTCAGTCCCTGGACAAAGAAGTTAGGAAGGATACATGTCAACATCAGGGTGAACTGATTATAAAACACATAATCTTACTGATTTTATGGTAAAAATTAGGTCTGCATTTATTTTTGACTTCTCTAATCTAACCAAGGTCACAGATTTATACACATATGTGCAACCTATATGTTCGTATGCGAGTCTTTTATCAGGCTGGAGAGAAGCCTCTAATATCCAGTTTCTGAAATTAAATGGATCTTAGCCCCATTGCTAGACATGCATAATTCAAATGTTTGTCTGTGCCTGGAAACAAACCAATTTACATTAATTTTCTGTCAAGTAGAGTAGTTAGTAGTGAGAGTAATTTTTAAAGTTATCTTATAGTAATTTAATCCTAAAATTAGAAACTTATCATGAAATAGTTACATTACAGTGAATGGAAACCTTAAATTTTCTGTCTGTGTGCCCGTATTTCTGGCATTTCTTGACGAACGTCCTCTGAATCTGGATCACATAAATCCAGATTCATGTAATATCTTGTGGTTCACCACAAGGTGTCTGCTGCCACCTTGTGGTGAACCATGAAAACATGACTCACCTGGACAATATCAGTCTGGAATTTTCTGCATACTTCCTCTATGGACATCTTATGCTCCGTCTGCAAAAAAAACAACACAAAACAAAACAAAGACACAAAGAAACAAGCAAAAAAAAACAATTAATACATTGTGATGTCAGAAACTGTGCGCTTTGTAATCATTTATCCATGCAATTTTAAGCAAAAAATTTCCAGAACAATAATAAATATATTCTGGACATTGTAAAGCGTTTCTGTATTTGTAAAGCACATACTGCGTAAACATATTTATAATGGTACTCCATGCATGCAGTTCACCTGAGAGATTAGAGTCTCAAGGCAGCCAGGTATGGCAGCCCTGTTGTCTGTTTCTTGAGCTGAAATGTGGAGTCAAACTCACAGCATCCTGATAAAAAGTCAAAACCCTCTAATGGGCAAAGCATCATCCTTTAGGCTTATTTACTACGAACTCTTTTTGCAAAACAAAATACCTTCACCAAAGACATGGAGTATTTAAAAAAAAAAAATTTAAAATAACCCAATTGACAGGTTACAAAGTGAAATAATTTACAATATATTTATCTGTAAAACATACAAAGAGAAGTTTTACTCACAATGGGCACTTCCTTCTTCAGGTCATCCATGTCCTTGGCCCCCTTCTTCTTCTTGGGGGATCGGTCATCTTTGTCCTGTGTGGTGGCAACGCGGTAACTGTCTGAACGTCCATACTACAGACACACACACATGTTTTATACATGTCCTCCGACTACAGTGAGGAGAAAGCCTTTGTGTTTGAGTTTGGCTGCTTTCAAATAAACGAAAGAATGCAACACATTGAGGGTTTTTTCTATTTTCTAGGAGTATCTATCACTCACAAACTGCACCAGAAATTAAGGATGATTGATCTTTTTCTATAAGTTTAAATCCTCCATGAACTATGTTGTAGCCCAGTGAGGTGGCCCTGAGAGGTTAAGTAATTTCAGTTAGTGAGGAAAACAAAAGATTAAAAATATTAATATAAACAAATGCTATTCAATGTAAAAACCAAAGGCGTAAGTCTGAACATTAAAAAACGCACTGTGAAGTCACATCAAAGCCTTATTCTGTTGTCTCTGCCAGACCCATCTGGCATCCGCTGATCAAATGCTCTGACAAACATAACACCCAGATGGACACAACACCACCTAATAGAGTGAAAATGGTTTAACCTGCTCCTTTTTATTCAATTATATAGCAGAAAGCCATAAGGACATCAGAGGAAGGCAGAGCACAAACCAAGGCTGCAGACCGATCAAAGCACTTCTTCTTGTGCTCGAATATGCTTTAGAGCAAAACTCTTAGAGGCACTTTGTCGTCAAGATTAGTAAATATAAACCCACAGGACAAAAATCAGACGCATTACTTTATTTTACAACTTATTTTGACCTGTTATCCAGGTGTATCATTTTAGACCTGATTCTTGTTGACAGTGACGACCTTACCAACAAGCAGCTGAGATACAAAAAAAACTATTCTACACCTAATTTTAATTCAAATAAGCAATAAAACAATAACAAAAAGAACAAACAGAAAATACCAGAAAACATTAAAGTGCACAGCAAGTATAGTGAAAAATTCAAAGTATTTGGCGTAACGCAAATAATTACATTTTCATACATGGAACAGCATTTTGCAAAACATCCATACCTCTCAAATCTTTCAATCTTTAGATTTATGTATTTTAATGTGCTTTTGTGCCTAGCTATCCTGATGAGCTTGTATTTTATTGAACCTAATTTCACTGCAATAGAGGCTGCAGGTCTTTTGAGGCATGTCTCCACTCGCTTTGATCATCGTGAGTCTGAAACTGTGGCCAATTCTTCTTTGCATAATAAGGGATGGACTGAGAGCATTTAGCATTTAGACCTGGACTTTAATGGGGTGATACATTAATTTAAGAGATTCTATTGTAGCCTTGGGTTTAGATTCATACACACTTCACCCTCACAGGGGTTTTCATCCTGCATTTTCTTTTCTAAAGTCTGACAGGCTTCCCAATTCCTGTTTTAGGAAAGTATCCTTGCATGATCCTGCCATGATCATGTTTGGAATTGGAATGATTTGTTTAGGGTGATGAGCATTTTCTACATGACATGTTACACATTGTTCAACCCATTTGATGATGTTTTTTTCACCAGTATTTTCTAAGAAACACCTGAAACTAAACTAAATACTAGTTAACTCTATTTGTAAATTTAGCATCTTCAGAAGGCAAATCACTGCACAGGATTTTGTTTTAGAGTATTTGATTTAAGTTGTGTAAAATTGTGGAAAACATCCTGTTTTTCATCCACTTTACAAATATTCACTGATTTCAAATCCTAATGCTAAACATTTTCTTGTGAACCTCTGTATGTAAAAAACTACTGCTTGTTTCCTGTTGAACACTTTGCGGAAAAAATATCAGTGATATTTTTCTACTTAAAAACCACTTCCTCCTGTGATGTCAACACTGTGAAACCAGTTTTTTCTGCTGGAAAGCCTCAACAGTTTGTAAAAGAGGAAGACTAAAATTGTTTGAGCGGTCTAAGTATTAGTAAGGCTCCCAAACCTCTGCGCGTTCAGTATTTCAAGCAGCTCAACTTGACAAAGGTCAGAGGTAACTAGAGACCGTACCTAAGGAGACAATGGGGGTCAGTGGACAGCCCCTTAATATTCTGATCTCATATACATTTTTGGATAATGAGAACAGAAAATCTTCTGAATTATACAAAAACAAATTTTTTTGATAATAATTATAGTAATAATACCAACAATAATAATATATAATTAGAAAAAGTCTACATTGACTTGGCTAATTTTCATGCATAATTCTCAATCTATTAGTAATAATGAATTGGTGGCTAGTGCTCTAAATTAATTTAACTTGGCGCCCTCTAACGGTGGATATTGGGAGTAACCTCATCAAACAGCAGCTAACTTCCATTACCTTCAGAATAAAAAGCAGATTTAATCTTTAAGGTAAATCTTCAATGTATGTTTATTTTTAAAATGTGCTGGTCTTATAGGTATAGGAGGACGGAGTGTAGTATGAATTATGATCTGAAATTTGTCCTTTGTGTTGACTGACTTGCCCAAACAAACCGCACCAAACCAAACACACCTGCACTGGAACAAAGACAAATTTTTCTTCTGCATCTCCCATTTGAATTGTAATTGTTCTGCCATTGTGCAACCCCTCTGAAATGAAGCCTGTGTTATGCAATTTATTTATTGTGCACAGACTTTTAATGATGCCAGATATGTACGACAATTCTCGCTTAATTAAACGGCGCCGTTGCGTTGCTCAACGACTACTTCTGAGCTGGGAACAAACAAGAAAACCCTTTGTATGAACTTGCCAAGCGGGGAGCAGCATGTCAGCGGGAAGGAGACCGTTTGACCTGACTGCAAAAGCTACACACACTCACACACACTCATATGCAAATACAGAGAGTAATAAGAGAGCAGGTAAGCAAATCTCTCACTGCAGCATGTCGAGGCATGCCTGGTGATGAAGAGGCTGCACACAGAGACACTGGTGTAGTGGAAAAGTACTGTTGCCAAACCCCACTGAGTCAGGTCATGGGTGTGTGTGAGCAAAATGGAGGTGGGCGGAGATGTGCTGACACAGGTACATGTGTGTTATAATTGATGTGGGATATTATTTGTTGAGAACTGTTGCACAATAAGTCATGCAGCTTTGTGTTCAAGAATAATTTGATGCTTCAGCTCCAGTGATGGGACTAGCAGGTGTGTTTCTGCCTTTTTATTGTTCTACCTCGTTTTTCCATAAACAACAACTGAACACTACAAACAGTCCTTTCAGCAGCCTACCTGCTCCTGTATGTGATAAAGCTGATGGAGACACAGATATCTAAAAGCCACACGAGCTTACACAAACCGACCCGAACAACAGAAGCAATTTGAAAGTGAGAGAGAGATGGATGTGACGGAAGTGGATGACAGACAGGCACATGGAAGAGGAGACATCAGTGGGAGGTGAGAGGAAAGCAGGTGAAGAGAGGGTGAGGGGAAGAGCACCAGGAGGTGTGGGTGTTGCCACCCGTCTTTCAGGAGTCTAATTAAATATTGAGTGTTTTGACCCACACTGATGGCACTCAAACAGATCTCAACATCATGGACTGCTAATAAACCATATTTTCATTGCAGGTTATCCATGCCTGAAGGTGTTATTTACAAATAAGAGTGATGGTGTATTCATGAGCCTGAGTCATAGAGAAAGGAAACGTGGCCAGCTTATCCTCTTCAGTTTACTGAGTAAGATATTTGCACATTGACTGTGTGATTGGCAAAGAGGAAATATCAAAGAAGACATTTAGCAATACGAACAATAAGCTATGTAAATATACAACTCTGGAGAAAAATTAAGAGGCCTCTTAAAATGATCAGTGCTCTGATTTTACTATTTATAGGTAAATGTTTGAGTAAAATGAAAATTGTTCTTTTATTCAATGAACTACTGACAACATGTTTCCAAAATTTCAAGCAACAATTTAGTATTTATTTGCAGAAAATGAGAAATGGTCAAAATAATAAAAAAGGTGCAGTGCTTTCAGACCTGAAATAATGCAAAGAAAACAAGTTGATATTCACTTAGAAACAACAAGACTAATGTTTTAACTCAAGAATCAATATTTGATCAAATAACCATGAGGTTGTTCCTCCCTGAGGCCCTGATATTTCTCCAGTTTCCTTTTTCCTGATGTTGCAGTCACTTGGTATTGCTACATTGCTTGGTAGCAATACCAAGTGGCATAGTCGTCACTTGTAGCAATACCAAGTGACTGCAACATCAGGAAAAAGGAGCACGAGAAACTGGATAAATACCAGGGCCTCAGGGAGGAACTTATATATACATATATATCAGATAAAACATAATGTAGGCTACATAATGTAACATAATGTAATTATTTTTTCTCCCATTTTATGCACTATTCTGTGTTTGTGGTCTCTGTAAAACACATTAAAGTTTGTAGTTGTAACGTAACAAAATGGGGAAAAGGTCAGAGAGCACAGAACGCTTTTGCAAGCACGGTAAAAAAGGATATGCCTCTTGTTATCCATATTTTGTGTTTATCTATTCTCACTGCTCCTGTCTGTGTGTTTGTGTGGAGCTATCCAGCTGTCTTCAACATCTCTGAGTAATTCAATGAGCCCCCTCTGTCCTGAGGAAGGAAACAGAGACTTGTGGCTGAAATTACATACACCCACTCCCCCACGAGCACAGCGCAAAAACAGAACGATGGACACGCTTATCGATTACATTATTGCTAAACAGCAAAATCTTGCTGCTCCTTCGCAGATTACAAAATGATTGCTAACATCCAGACACATTTTAGCTCATTAAAATGTACTTAAAATATCAATAACTTGATTAAGCAGCTGCTTCAATATTTATTTTCAGTTGATTCCTAAATGATTGTGCAAAGCCACTGATGAGAGCCATGGTGAGCGGCATGGCTGCTGGGATGGTGACAGAGCTCAGCATTGGCCTGGTACTCTGAGGATCCCCCGATGTTATCCTGGATGAGGAATATCTGATGCATCTATAACTGGACACTGGATTTGCTGCTGTTTGTTTAAGGCCACTGATGGATTCCACGAACTGCTCTGCATTTTTTAATGCGCTTATGACTGTATGCGCCTGTGTTAGCAGAGGTGAGTCACTGAATTGGCTACAGTGCGT